ATTTGGAACCCAAGGCTGAAAATTTTCTACAATGTAATTCTGATCCCAATTTTTAGGTATAATTTGCTTAGCTCAGAGTTTTTCTGAGATTAAATAATACCATAAGATCCTCGAATAGTAAACAACAGCATAAGATCCTCCAGTAGCAAAATTACAATGTTGAGACACCACAGATTTTACTACAAACTCCGTCTCTTCTTAAAAAATCCCTAGGGAGAAATTGAGGTTCGAAGATTGAATCCCCTTGTAAGACAAATTCCAAACGCATTAAAATCCAAATTAAAGTCCTAAATCAAATTCTCTGCTAAGAGTTGAAAATAAAAAGAAATAAAAATGACCCTGAGCCTGGATTTCATACTCTGGTTTATCTCAACTAGTAAGTGTCCCACGTCCAGATGGAGTTAAGGCTCTCTCTGCTATGAGTGTTTCTGCAGACAACACAGATCCGCTCACTCATGAAAGAATGCTAAATTTATCGAAGCTTCCACAGGCTGATGTCATAGACTCAGGACCTTTGAACGTGAACTGAATTGTGAGATATCTCCCTGTTCCAGAGTAATGTTGACAACCACCATCGTGTACTGTTCGGGAGATAGGTGGAAATCATTTATTTTGTGTCTTTTCCACTGAATCGATTCAAAACTTCTTTGTATTTTGCTTCCTCTTTGAAGTACTTCTGACATCTCTTAAGTCAGGGATCCCCAAACCCTGGAGCCATGCACTGGTACTTATCTGTGGCCTGTGAGGAACCTGGCAGCTCAGCAAGATGTGCACATGGAGCAAGGGAGAGAAGCTCTATCTGTATTTACAGCTGCTCTTCATAGCTGGTGTCGGTGCCTGAGTTCTGTCTCCTGTCAGATCAGCAGCAACATTAAATTCCCATAGGTGCTTGAATCCTACCTTGAACTGCGCATGTGAAAGATCTAGCATTCCCTAAGCCCAATGAGCTGATGAGGAGCTGAGGTGGTGAGCTGGTGCTGGAGAATGCAATTATTGTGTATTGCAAACATACACTAATAAAGAAAAGAAACTAAAGAAAATCATCCCAGTCCATGGTAAAATTGTCTTACATAGAACCAAGTCCTGGTGCCAAACATGTTTGGGATCACTATCATAAAGGTCACGTCAAGCCTTCCTAGATGTGACCCCAAGAACCTGATGTTTATCCCTTTTTGAATCTCATAGACGCGTCGTTCATCTTCCTCTATGATACAGGAAAGACCAGCATGCCTGCCTAGTAACTATGCTAACTATACTGTCTTGAGTCCCTCAAAAATTCTTTAAATAGTTTCTACCCTTGAACCTAGAGAACATCAAGTGAATCCAGGAATGGTCCCTCCAGTCTGACCCTCGGACCTGCATCCAGGCTAGAATTTGGAGTGACTAATGTATGCAGGCTTTTGAGGCTTGACACTTAAAAATTTGAAACTTGGTCCCTTTTGTCACTTTGTAGTACACAAAGAGCCTTGTGGCCAAAAGTAGTACCCCAGTCTCAGTGCTTACAGAAGTTATAGAGAGTTCTACTTCTGCTCACTAACTATCTCCTTCAGCTCTGACTACCTGGGAAAAGGGACTCAAGCCTTTGTTGAGATTTCCTCTAGCCACCTTTCTGTGGCTAGGTACCCCTACAGCCGGTCAAGCGCCAACTGTCTAGAGGCTGACCTGCACCCCATCATCTCTGCTTACAAAAGGCCTCCACAGCGTTCTAAAGGCCCTTCGTGAGGTCCTTGCCCATTTTGTTTATTGTTATTCATAGGTTCAGTGTCACATCAGTCCTTCCTTTATAGAAACAGCAACTGGTCTGTGAACAAAACTACCACCAGCTGATGTTACCCTGTGAGGTCACAAAGCCATGGGCCCTGAAGCCACAAGCCTCTTGCACAGTCTCAGTAATTAAATTTAAAAATGTTAGCCTAGTCTTAATCTCTCCAATCTGCAAAATGGCCCCATTCTTTTACTAAAACCTAAGGCTGAGGGCCAGAGAGTCTGGTTCCATTTAGTCTCTCCTTGTAATATATGGCTCCCAAATTTTTTGTTATTTTCATTTCTCTTATAGCGAAGTCCACACCCCAATGGTTTGTGTCTCTAAGAGCTAGCTCTCTACATGCACACTTTCCCCAGTGCAGCGGAAGTTCTTGTTAACAGACCTGTCTATAAGCAGGATTGTGTCCAAGGGGGAGGAAGAGCTTAGAGCTGAGTAGAACATGCTTCATTTACCCTCCTGAATCTACAGAGCAAGCAAGGCACCTCCCTTCTCCTAGGGTGGAATAAGACAAGGAAATGTAGAGGGAGGTGGAGCTGCACGTACACAGGAGGAAAGCAGTGCCCTCCCCAAAAGCATTATTCATTAATATGTTCATGCAAACTAAAAATGATTCTGTTCTGTTATGGGTATCAGATATAAAAAATAAAAATGCAGGACTCTTGGTTATATTTGAATTTCAGGTAAATAATGACAACTTTTTAGCGCAAGTGCATCCCAAATATTAAAAAGGATCAAGATTATATATATGTACCATTTTCCCTTGCTGAAAGCGTTATGTATCACAAACATGTACTGCTTAAAAACAAGAGGATCACTGGTAGTTCAAGGCCAGCCTGGGCTACACAGTGAGTTCAAGGCCAGCCTGAACTATATAGTGAGACCCTGTCTCAAAACACCAAAAAAAAAAAAAATGTGTGTGTGTGGGGGAGTAGATCACAAATATTGTCTGAGACATATTTATAATAAAAATTATTATTTCATCGGAATTTAAACTTAACTGGGCACCTTGTATCTTATTTGGCAACCTTTGTGGAGTGTCAGGCACTGTGCTAGGTGCTGGGATTATAATGCAAACAAGGGCATAGTTGTTGTCTTACACGGAGAGATAAAACTATAGTACTTTTGGCTTTACATGGACAGTAACATTCAAAAAGCTACTTTCTGAGGATCTCTTTCCAAAACATCTTTAACCACGAAATACATTTGCGTTCACTCATGCAGAGTTACTTTTTAAAATTAAGCTTAAAATACTTTTTTGGGGGAGGTACTGGGGATTGAACTCAGGTCCTTGTGCTTGCAAGGCAGGCCACGGAACCGCTGAGCTAAATCCCCGGCCCTAAAACTAAATTTATAGGTACATTTTAGATATACAATATGCTGACACACACATCACTGGGAATTTGTATCTTTACATGATTTATCTTGATTCTTACTGTTTTTCCCATTCCCCATTCCCCTGCCCTCCCTTCGACTCCTCCACCCCTCCTTATTTATAAAGTCTTTGCTTCCGTTTTTTTTTTTCTTTTTCTCGTATTTGAGTTAGTCTTACTTTGACACATTATACCTCCAAGCTGGCCATATGCACCTGAGCCTCTCTTTTGTTGATGGCTGTGTTGGATGGAGAGAAATCACAAGTGAGTCTGAGACATTTCTTTCCCTAAAGACATTTACGCTTGCTGGGATGAGCTCTGTAGCAAAGAAAAGTAAAGTAGTATCGACACATACGAGAGGAAATACAGTTTAATTTCATTTAAATACATAAATGCAGCCAGTACCCCTTCTCCGGAACACGGGAGGAAAATCTTTCTTATATCTTCTGGTCCCCTTCCATTGGCATCCTGTTATTTATTGTTCATTAACTGTTTACTCATTCAGCACATACTTACCAACAAGTTAGAATGCAACGGGAGTCTGCAGCACAACACAGAACAAGCCAGACTCTTCTTTCAGCCCACACCATCCTGCAGTCGCAGGAGATAAATAGACATTGTACACTCACACAAATGAATCATTTGCTGCAATAATCTTCCACCTCAATGTAAAGGTCTCTGAATGTTTGCAACTTCTTGCCCTGGCATTTGTGCTGCTGAGAAGGTTCTGTCTCTATAGATCCCTCTCTTCCAAGAGTGGTGACATCATCTCAGAGGAGGCCAAAATCAGTTTATGTCAAGGTAAGTCATCCTCACTCTTTATGTGTAAAACAAAAATATACACGCAGCACCAAAATAAATATACGTACATCTGTGATATTAACATTTTATGAAGGAGAAGAGTGACTAGAAAAAAAAAAGTCTTAAAAGACTCCTTAGAGGATTGACCGTGAAGAAAAAGGACAGGAAACACCAGTCCGGAGTTTCTCAGAGCCCGTTCTACAGTCCTTCAAAGTGTATTTTCATGGTGTGTACTTTAAAGAAAGAACTGTGAAAGGCTCAAGGGATGCGATGGTGGATAAGACAAACACAGGCCCTTAAATGTTAGCGGAGGAGCAGACACAGAAGAAAAGAGAAAATAATTACCAGTTCCGACAAACAGTGTTAGAAGGCACAGTGGGTGTGCAGCGGAAAAATAATGAAGTAGAATCTCTTTGCTTGCAAGGTAAGAGAAGGCTGTTCTAAAAATAAGTTTGACTTTTAAAATAGAGTTTTTTCTTATTTGTACCCTTTTTTATTTACCTCCTAATTTACACAGGTCTGGGTGGAATTTAGAGGCAGCCTTTTTACTACCTGCAAATTTCTATTATTTTCCCATTCGCGACCTTTATGCCAACTTATGTAAAAGCGAAAAAGGCTTTTGCACCTATTCCGACACCCTGGCCGTGGGTGACTCACACCAGAAAGACCGCGTGACACAGCAAGACGCCCCACTGACTGAGCACAGCTGTGTCAGAAGGCTCACGCGGGAACCAGAGGCTGTGTATGTCTCTGAGTTAACAGGAGGGTTTTTCCATTTGAAAAAACGAGGAGCAAATTGTTTGAATATGAGCAAGTCTATAGCTTGACATTTCCAGAGAACTCAGTCACCTCAGCCTTGCAGGTGTTTCTTCTGAGAGACTAGAGCTGTTAGAAGATGAGTCTCAACTTCAGAAAGCTCACAGCTTCAGGGCTGAAATGCAGCCCTTCCAAGGGCGGCCACGCTCTTATTTTCAATACCCGAGGGATGACATTCTACTAAAGTTCTTCCACTTCCCTTTTTTCAGCTTTTCAGGTCTTATCTGAGCAGCGCCCTCCAGCCTTCCTTCTTTGAAAGAGATGAGCCTGACTTGGTGAGACAAACATGTCCTGCCCTCAGCGTCGTCGGGTCCTCACACACCTGTGGCCGCTCCTGCTGATCCTGGGTGAGTAGATCGGCGGATCCGGGATAGCGCCTGAGCTCGCAAAGTCGGCCGGGGAAAAGCCACATGTTCTGTCTCTTTATCCACGGTGGGTTCAGGGGCAGATAGCAAGAGATGGGAAAAGTGCAGACCTGGGATCCTCAACCTACCCCACGTCTCCAAATGCAAGCATCAGTAAGCTGAGCACTTGCCTTCTCACTGCCATTTTGTTGTTATTTTTGTTCTTATGTTTTTCATCCCATAGGAAACTTGGACTATTATTCCTGCCAAATCATAACTCGACATTCTTCCTTCTTATGATTTAAAATTAAATAATTTTCCAGATAAACAATGACTTCAAAAACCTAGGTAGCCGGGCATGGTGGCACACGCCTGTAATCCCAGCACTCGGGAGGCTGAGGCAGGAGGATCGCTGTGAGTTCCAGACCAACCTGGGCTACATAGTGAGTTCCAGGTCAGCCTCAACTACACAGTGAGACTCTGTCTTAAAAAAACCCAAAACAAAACAAAACAAAAACCTAGGTGATTTGTGTCCAACCTGGATGATTTAGCTAGATCCTGTCTCAAAAAATAAAAATATAAAAAAGGTCTGGATGCTGTTTATTCTGAAGACCCTGGGTTTAATCCCTAGCCAGAGAGAGAGCGGGGGGAGGACCCTCTTTTTAATGTTTTCAGACAAATTTAACCAGAATTGAAATGTAGAAGAAACAATAGGAAGTTCCCAAAAATGAGGGAAGGAGAAACCATTTCTCCAAATCCTCTCCTGTCTTTGTATGGCTGAGTTCAGTCTAGGGAGAAATTCAAGTGTGCTAAGCACACAATAGCAGCAAAGAGATGAGCCAGGGTGGTGGACACAAGCCACCACACGTGGCTATAAACTATAGCCTAATTTTTCTCTTGTCATTTAGGGACTCTCTCTGGTTCGAGAACCGAAAGTGTAAGTGAGGACCCCAATGTATAATTAGATAATGTGAGATAGGATGAAATGGTCCAAAGGGGAAGAATCAATGGTCTAAAAAAGAAGAGAAAGTAAGGCAGGGTGGGGGAAAGGAAAGAGGGAAAGAAAAAAATAGGAGAAAAGGAAAAAGTGGGAACAAAGATTTTTATAAATAGGGTGGAAGGGCGGGAAGGGAAATGGGGGGAAAAAAACAAGAACCAAGATGTATCTTGTACAGGTACAAATTCCCAATGATGAATGGGATCATAATGTATACCTAACATACCAATAAACTTAGTGAAAAAAAAAAAGAATGGGAGCAAAGAATTTGGAGGAAGAAGTAAACTTTGTGGTTATGTTGTTGGACAATTTCTCCTAGAGCTTCTAATTAAAAAGATTTGAGACACATTGTACCACACTAATCTTTGAATCTTGGCTCCTTCACAGCTCCTGGAAGAGAGCAATCAGGTAAGTTCCCCTTTACCTCTGTTTGTCCCAAGCTCTGAGCCCCAGTCTCCTTGGCCAGCACAGTCTGTTGTGTTGCAGCCCTGTCAGTGACAGCAACAGGGACTCGCCAGCCGTTGCGTGTTGCTGTTCCAGGGGCACACCCAATGCCGTTGGACAAATGGACCCTGCTCTAACTTTCTCCATCTCTGGCTCTCCCTCATTACCCAGAAGCCTGGTGTAGAGAGGGAGAAAGCATTTGAAGAAGGAGGCTGCTATCTAGAGAATCTCAGATCTTGTCTCTGTTCCCTAAGGCCTCTCTCTCTGCATCCTCAAACTAGTGCCACTGCCATCAGAAATAGAAGTAGCTCCCCTGCACAGCAGAAAATGGTGCCATAAAATCCTTACGTGGGTTAAAAGGAGCTACTGCCACTGTCATTCCTCAGTCTCTCAGGCCCATCAATCTGCTTGTTGTAATTCTAAACTCAGGTCTAAGTTCTCTAGCTGCCGACCCTTCATTGAAATTTTTTATGCCCCTTAATTATCGCGTCCAGTGTAGATGGAGAGTGGAAAAAAAGTTGCCTCCCTGTAGAATATCCAATTGAAGAAGGTTTAAAAGTAATAAAAGTTAAGAAAAATCTTGTACATTAAATGTTGGCAGACAAGCAGGGAGAGGTTTTGCTAGAGTCTAGAAACTGCTTTGGAGGTGAACACACCCCTGATTTACCTTTACCTCCAGCGGAATGAATAGAACCAGAGCATTTCAGAATCAACCCACATTCAGAGGCCCTCACAATGTTTGCCCAATGATAAATCACATCTCCTGAGTTTTTCTGAGCTGTCCCAAGAACCTGAGACCTATGGCACCCCTTTGCCCATGCCCAGCCTAAGCCAAGGAAAAGAACAGATTCTGTTCCAGGCACATTTTCATGTTCCTTCTGCTCAATTTCTAATGCTGATCCTGGCTGAGGATCAGCCCAGGAAACTCGCAGCTGCAGAGTAGGGCCCTCCCCTGTCTACCCACGGCACTCCAGTGGCCCTCATCTTTCTGTCTCCTGTTCAGGCGTACTTCCAAAAGCCGTACTTCTGCTCGATCCTCCATGGTCCACCACATTCAAAGGAAAAAAAATGACTCTCAGATGTACTGATTCCCATTCTCCAACAAAGGGACAGGCATCTTGGTTTTGTGACAAGAAAATATTGAATACGGTATCTGAAATCATCACAATTGAAACATCTGGGAGTTACCAGTGCAAGACCCCTGAATCTTCTTTCAGTGACCCTGTGCACGTGGAATTTTCCCCTGGTGAGAAAGGGACTGGGAAGTCTTGATAGTCGAGCCATTGGGCAGAGCGTCACCAGACTGGGTTAATGTGGGGAACACAGGCAGGGTGGCAAACAGCATGCGGATGTGTGATGTGCCGACTCCAGCGGGTCAGGCAGCAACACCATGCTACACGATTCCACTCCTCTGTCCAGAGAAGTGTCCATATCCCAGAGGCCACCAAACAGCAGAGGTCGCCCGTGTCTGAAGAGTGGTATGGGAGCAAATTCCCCTTTTCTTTAAAGACCTGTAAGGATTTCCTAAGGACATTCTCTGGAAGTTAGTTCTCTCTCACAAGGCAAGGAAGAATCGGTACTGAGGATGTGGAAACGTTGGTGGCAGAGTTGCAAGTGGGTAAGGGGCTGTGGCTCTTCTCTCGTGGGTAGAAATGAGACTGGAGGAAGAAACTACAGGGATTAATTGAGTGCATTCTCTTTGCAGACTCGCTGATCCTCCAGGCTCCCCACCCTGTCTATGAAGGAGATGATGTAACTCTGAGATGCCTGGGGAAAGAAGAAAAGAATACATTGAAAAAGATTTACTATAAAAATGGAGAAAAACTCCATGAGAGTGACTATTTAGACCTCATCACTGTAAATTCAGTCTCCATGAACTCTGATCAATATTATTGTACTGCTTATGACAAATGGCTCCTAATCCCATTCAAAAAAACTTCAAAATCTTTAAGCATCCAAGTTCAAGGTAATGGCTAAACGCCTATGGGATATAGATATGGGTAACAAAGTGATTTTCAGGGGGAATTTCATGAAAATTCTTTGATGGCCCAGTCACCAGCAGGAAATGTTCTCACCTGGTTGGTCTTCTCTTTCCTGCTGGTTGGTGCTGCTTGGTGTTATCTCTCCTGGAGCTCTGTACCTCACCGCACTGAGGATGGTTTGTTTTCTCTAGAGCTGTTTCCACGCCCTGTGCTGACTTCTAGCCCAGCCCAGCCCATCGAAGGTGGCCCAATGTACTTGACCTGTGAGACCCAGCTCCCTCCACAGAAGCCAGATGTCCGGCTCCAGTTCTGCTTCTTTAGAGATGCCCAGATCCTGGGGTCAGGCTGCAGCAGCTCCCCGGAGCTCCAGATCCCCACCATGTGGACTGAGGACTCAGGGTCCTACTGGTGCCAGGCAAAGACAGTGATGCCTAACATCACAAAAATGAGCCAGAAGTCTCAGATACATGTGCAGAGTGAGTGTTCAAAGGTTTGCTCTTCCAGAGTTGGGGTTAGGGAGAGGAGAGCAGAACACGGTATCTTCTGCCCCTCCAGGACGGTGGACATAGAGAGGAGGCTCCAGCTATTCTAGTACCTGGCCTCTGTAGGCTCAGCATTGGCCTAACTTATCTAGCTCATTCTCTTCCATCTAAGTTAGGCCATGGCGGTTATTGACCAGTTAAAGGGGCCCAACCTTGTAGGGGTTACAAAGATACACAGGATATGTTGTTGCATGAGTCAGCAGATAATCGGAGGCACCCTTGGCCACATGTGGCCTCTAGAGACAGCTCTGCTAACCTCATATCGAAAGAATCAAAACCGAAAATGTGAATATGGACTGGAAAAATCAGAGAAGAATACGGGGACATGGGGTGATACTGCAGAAAGAAGGATAGGAGAGAGGTTTGGGTTCTGAGGAAAGTCACTTCAAGCTAGAAGTAACTGTAGTCTGTTACTCTGTGGCCCTAACTGCATCAAAGATTCCTTAGAAATAAAGGTTCATAAAATGTGCCTCCAGGTAACTAGCATTAGAATAATCCTGGACCTGGTCACTATATTCCTCAGAATGGGAATTGTGAGAGTGAGGATGGGATGTTGGTCTCTTTATAACATATGCACAATTTCTTATTCCATGCTTTGGACCCTTACCTATTGCAACAGCACAAAACTTTTCTTTGACATTGAAGTCCCTTCTACTAGGACCCTTACCTGTTACTTTGTGTCCTTCTAGGGATCCCTGTGTCTAAAGTGAATCTAGAGATCCAGCCCCCAAAGGGTCAGCTGATTGAAGGACACAGTTTGCTTCTTATCTGCTCAGTAACGAAGGGCACAGGGGTTATTACCTTCTCCTGGCACAGAGATGGGACGGGAATTCTGGGCAGAAAGACCCAGCGTTCCCTGTTGGCCGAGCTGCAGGTGCCCACAGTGAAGGAACATGATGCAGGGAAATATTATTGCACGGCTGACAACAGTGATGGCCCCATCCTCAGCAACAAGATTAGAATCCCTGTGAAAAGTAAGTTTCCACGTACTTTCCTTGGCTTTGATTCACAAGCCAAGGTTTAAGATCTTCGTCAGTCATGGGGCTATTTAAGGAGGCAATGGAACAGAGATGTGAAGATTTATAAAGCTATCGAAGCAATCAAAGATGGCAAAAGAAGTTAAAAAACACTTTTGCTCCATGTGGAGAGGAATGAGTGGCCATAGAAGCAGAATTGCCCTGGATTACTGCTCAGGGTTTTGGGATATTTCTTCTGATTGTTAGAGGCGGAGAGTGCAGTCAGTGAGAGACAAACAATCAGAGGCGGTGTCTATTTCTAAGCCCCCTGGAGTGGGGTTATGAATATGTCGAGTCCTCAGATACTCTGACAGCTCTTTCATCTTCTCCAGTTCCAGCGTCTAGCCCAGTCCTCACCATCAGGGCTCCCAGGGCCCCGGCTGTGGTGGGGGACCTTGTGGAGCTTCACTGTGAGGCCCTGAGAGGCTCTCCTCCGATCCTGTACCTGTTTTATCATGAGAACGTCACCGTGGGGAACAGCTCAGCACCCTCTGGAGGAGGAGCATCCTTCAAGGTCTTCTTGACTGCGGAACACTCCGGGAACTATTTCTGCGAGGCTGACAATGGCCTGGGGGCCCAGCGCAGTCACGGAGAGAGTTTGAAGGTCGCAGGTAAGCCAGACTGTCTTCCACAAACAGAGCCCTGCTGGATTGTTTACTGGTGTAACATCCTGCAGACTCCTTACATACCCTTCGTCTAGCTTGGAGTGCTGGGGCTCTTCCTTGTGCTTCGCATTTAGTAATTTACATCATTATTTTAGTTCTTGTTAGTATCTTCGACAACCCTATATACCCCTCCCAGTCTTTTTAAAAGAATCAGAGACTTTCTAAAATATCAGACACATGTTAATTTAGAAATTACTGACAAAGGGACATGCAAAGGAAACCCTTATTTCTGAATTCCTTTTCCAGGAAAAAAAAAAATGCCTAGGCCTATTCCTTGCCTTGATTTTCTACCCTTACCTGCATCCAATTTTAAACTTTATTTGGCTCCCTGGTCACTAGATGAGGTACTTTGAAGAAGTATCTACTAAACATGACAGAATCAATAGCCACTGAGCACCAAAAACAAAACAAAATAAAAATTCCCCAAAATCAATATTAGTTTTTATTTTGTAAAATTTAGTTTGTTTGTATTAGCTCATTTTCAGCATATAATGATTACATTCATCATGGGGAGTTGGTACGTGTAGATAACACATTCTACTTGCTTTAACTTCTCTTTCCCCTCCTACTCCACCTTCTTTTTGGATACCCTCCCATTTGCAAAAGATCTATATGCTTGTTTTCTATTATTTAATTTTTAAATTTTCTTTTTAAATTATATATACTTTGGATTTCTCAAACAGAGAAACCATGTGAAATTTAACCTTGTGTGTCTGAGTTTTTTCACTTAACATCACGGTCTCAAGATGAACCCACCTTTCTACAAATGACACAAATTTATCTTTGTGTGCAAATGCCACAGTTTCTTCATTCATTCATCTCTTGATAGACATATGAATCTTCCAAGATTTAGCTATTAAAAGTTGCTCTGTTTTAAACATGTGTTAACAGGTATGGCTGTAATATGATGTCTTTAAGTCTTTTGGAAAGATGTCCAGAAGGGAATAATTGGGTGAAATGGAATTTCTATTTTTAGTCTTTGAGGAATCTCCATACTGATTTCCACAGTAGCTGTGCTAGTTTGTATTCCAACCAACAATGGAGGAGGGAAGCTTTTTTTCCCCACAGCCTCACCAGCTTTTGCTATTATTTGATTTGTTGATGACAGCCATTCTTTCTGGAGCAGGATGGGATTTCACTGTGGCTTTAATTTGCATTTCTAGAATGGTTATTTTTCTAATGAACATTTTTTTCATGTATTCGTTGGCCATTTATACTTCTTCTTAGAAGTGTCTGTTCATTTTAGTGGTCTGTTTTTGATCTGGTCTTTTATTTTTGGAGGTCGAATTCTTTTGAGTTCTATCTAAATTTTAGATATTAGTCCTCTGTCTGACCCGTAGGTGGCAAAAATTTTCCCATCATGAAGGTTGTCTCTTCTCACTGGAAATTGCTTCTTTTACTATGTAGATGGTTTTTAATAATGGTACAACTCCACTTGTCAATTCTTGATGTTACTTCTTGTGCAATTGGGGTTCTATTCAGAAAGTCCTTCCTCATAGCCATAGTCATATCTTCAAGAGGTTACCTATTTTATTTTCTGGCAGAGAGTTTGTGCTTTAATATTTAGGTCCTTGACTAATTTTGAGTTATTTTCATACCTTTTAGAAGATATGGGTCTAAATTCAATCTTCAGCATATTTATAGCCAGTTTGCCAGCAACATTTGTTGAGAAGGCTGTCTTTCCTTTAGTGTAAGTTTTGCCTCATTTGTCAAACATCAGATGGCTTACTCTGCTTGAGGTTGTTTCTGTGTTCTGTTTGGTTCCGTTGATCCATATGTCTATTTTTGTGCTAGTACCATTCTATTTTTATCACTATATCCTATAATATTAATTGTGCTCTGGGATTATAATGCCTCCTGCTTTGCTTTTATTATACAAGATCGCTTTTGCTATTCTGGGTCCCTTCTGATTCTACTGGAATTTTAGGATTATTTTCCCTGGTTCTGTGAATAATACTGTTGGTATTTTGATTGGGATTGTATTCATTTTATATATCAATTTTTGTTACTTCGGCCACTTGATTCTGCCTAGCCAGGAACAGGGGGTATCTTTCCATTTTCAGATGTTTCCTTTGGTTTCTCTTTGTAGAATACTGTAGCTTTCATTACAGAGGTCTTTCACTTCCTTGATTAGGTTAAGTCCTACATATTTAATTTTTCTTGAAGATATTATGAATGATAATATTTTCTGATGTCTTTCTCAGTGACTTTGTTATTAATGTGTATTAACCCTATTGATTTTGTGTGTTGATTATGAATCCCGATACTTTGCTGAGCTTGCTTCTTAGTTCTAGGAGTCTTTTGGTGGATTTTTTGTTTTTGTTTTTTAATGTAAAGAATCATGTCATCTTTGAATAAGGATGGTTTGACTTCTTCCTTTTCTGTACATGTCCCTTTTATTTCTTTCTCTTGTCTAATTGCTCTGTCTAAAGTTTTGAGTACACCTTGAGCAGGAGTGATGATCATGGACATCCTTGATTTTAGAGGAAAAACTTTTAGGTTTTCTCCATTTATTGTGAAATTGGCAGTATATTTGTTATGAGTGGTTTTTATCAGATTGAGAAAAGGTCCTTCTATACCAATTTTCTTAAGGGGTTTTATCATGAATGGGTGTTGGATTTTTCAAAGGCATTTTCTGCTGCTCCTGAGACAGTGTGATTTTTATCCTTGTCTCTGTTTATTTGATATATTACATTTATTGACTTGTGTATGTTGAACCATCCTTGTATCTTTGAGAGGAAGCCTACTTGGCCACGATGTATGATCTTTTTGGTGATTTGTTACATTCTGTTTGCATGATCTTGTTGAGGATTTTTGCATCTAAATCAATTAAAGACATTGGCCTGTAGTTCTCTTTTTCAGTTGAGTCTTTGTCTGATTTTGGAATCAGGATAATGCTAGTTTCCAGATTGAGTTTGGCAGTATTCCTCCTCTCCTTTCAATCTCATTACAGAATTTGAGGAGTACTGGCATGGATTTTCCCTGAAGTTCTTGTAGTATTCAGGGATAAATCTATTGGGTTTTACTTTTCTTAGTTGGTAGGGCTCTTTTTTTTTTTCTTAAATTACTACCTCAATTTCTTTGCCTGATTTTGAACTGTTCAAGTTTTTATGTTATCTTTAGTTTAGTTTTGGTAATTCATATGTATCTACAAATCTATTCAGTTCTTCGGGATTCTCCAATTCAGGTAATGGATTTAATAAACAAATGGTCAATGAATTTAATGAAGACTCAAAAAAATCTAGCTGAGCTAAACAAAATGTCACAAAAAATAAGTGATTGGTTTGGTAAAGAATTAGAGTACACAAAGAGGTACCAAATAAAAATTCAGAAGAAAAATTTTTATTGAATTAGGGGCAGCAGAAGTGCTTAATGTGTCAGAATTAGGAGACAGGCTGATGTAGATGACCATGCAATCAGAGATATCCTAAAAACGAAAGATAATGGAAAATGGTTCCAACAGATGCTAGATGACGCACAGAAAACTTACCTAAGATTAACTGGCATTAGTGAAAAATCAGAAAAAAATATGAATGCCATAAAAAGCTGTTTATAAAACCATATCAGAAAGCTTCAAGTTCAGGGAAAGAATTTAACGTATAGGTAAGCTAGGTATATAAAACCCCAAATAACCACAACCAGAAAAGAATGTCTCAACGACACATTTTAGTCAAAATCCCAGAGTCCAACACAAGGACAGAATCTTACAAGTTGTCAGAGAAAAGCAACAAATCACATATAAATGTAAACTCTTTAGAATCACAGTAGACTTTTCAGTACACACTTTAAAGGTCAGGAGAACGTGGAGGGAGTAAGTAGCAGAAAAATAATGTAATGATAGGAATAAGTCAATACTTTTCAGTAACATTTCTCAGTATGAATAGTCTCAACTCGACAATCAAAAGATGTAGATTGGCATACTAGATAAAAACCCAACAGTATCTTGCTAACAGGAAACATACTTAATAAAAAAAAAACAGTTTAAAAATCAGGATGGTAAACAATATTCCATGCAACAGGAGCCTAAAAGCAAGCAAATGTAGCTATCCTATTTTCAGTAAAAGTAGCCCAGAATGGTGACACACGACTGTCATCTCAGCACTATGGAGGCTGAAGCAGAAGGATGGCTGTGAGTTCAAGGTCAGCCTCGGCACCATAATGAGTTCAAGTTCAGCCTACAGTAAGAGATCCAGTCTCAGAGAGAGAGAGAGAGAGCGAGAGAAGGGGGGGAAACTTCATGCCAAAACTTATCAGAAAAGGCAAAGAAGGCCCCTACATATTGGTTAAGACTTAACAGGAAAAGATAACATATTGTAAATACGTATTTACTAAAGTCTGATTCACTGAACTTCACAAAACAAGCTCTAGTGGACATAAAAGGTCAGATAAACATCAAAACAATTATAGAAGGGGCCCTCAATACCCCCTCTATCTCAGATCAACTAGACAAAAATAGTCAACCAAGAAATATCAGAGTTGAGCCACATTTTTGAATAAACTGACTTAATAGATATCCACAGGGTGTTCTACCCAACAACTATGGAATACACATTCTTCTCAGCAATGTATGGAACTTTCTCCAAAAGAAACCATGCATTAGCTCACAAGACATGCTTAAATTAATTAAAAACAATCAAAATTGTCCTATGCATACTATCAGATCATAGTGCAATTAAATCAGAAATCAATGGCAAAAGCAACAGCAGAAATTATGGAAACACATAAAGATTAAAAAATATGTTCTTGTAGGGAAAGTGGGAAGGGTTGGGGAAAGCTAATAAGGGAAAAGAAAAAATATGAGAAAATGAAAAAATGGAAATGAAGTGTTTGTAAAGGGGGAGGGAGGAGGGATGAAGGGAGGGCGGGGACAAGGAGAAAAAATGAGAACCAAGACCTGTCATGTAAAGGTGCAAGATCCCAATAATGAATGTAATAGCACTGTATACCTAAAATGTACCAATAAACTCAATGAGGAAAAAAAATATGTTCTTGAATAATCAGTGGGTCACAAAATAATCAGGTAAGAAATTGAAAAGTTCCTAGAATCAAACAATAATGTCAATACAATATACCAGAACCTATGAGACACAATGAAAATAGTTCTAAGAGGGAAATTTACAGCTGTGAATTCCTACATCAGAAAGACAGAGAGAGCCCAAATAAATAATTTAAAGATGCACCTCAAGATCCTAGAGAAATATAAACAATCCAAAGCTAAAGCTACTACATGGAATAAAATGATAAAGATTAGAACAGAAATTCATAAATTTAACCATAAAAATGGTACATTGAATTAATTAAAGAGCTAGCTCTTTGAAAGAATAAACAAAATTGACAAACCTTTAGCCAAAAGTACCACAAGAAAGAAAGAAAGAAAGAAAGAAAAGAAAGAAAGAAAAGACCAACCTCAAAGCAGTTAAAAATATAAAAGGTGAAGCCGGGTGTGGTGGCACACCCCTGTAATCCCAGCACTCAGGAGGCTGAGGCAGGAGGATCACTGTGAGTTCAAGACCAGACTGGGCTCATAGTGAGTTCCAGGTCAGTCTCAACTACATAGTGAGACTCTGTCTCAAAAAAAACAAAACAAAACAAACAAACAAACAAAAAATATATATATGTATGTATGTATATATATGGTGAAATTAGAATGGGGACTGCCCAAATCCAGGAGATCATTGGTACGTACTTCAAACTAGAGTCTTTCTTCATAGTAATTCGTGTGGCTCATCTTCACCTTTCAGTTCTCATTTTAGAACTTTACCACCAAAATAAACGAGCAACTTCTATGCAATATGAAAAGTGTTTTTGTTATTCCTTAATCTCACTGCAAAGCATTGTAAAGATTTTAAGTGCTTGTGAGCTCCATTCCTAGTACCACTAATCACCACCGCATCACCACCACCACCACCATAAGACAATCTGTAAAAGCACCCAAGTAGTCCATAATGTGACTGCATGATCCAATACGATAAGAAAGAATAAATAAGTAAAGCTCCCACTACCCACATCTGCGTGCCTGGAGCACCTTCTACCTTCACGAGACCTCCTAAGCTTTCTCAACATCAGAAATGACATAAGGCCTGAAGAAGACCGACAATGTGAATATTAGAAAACCTGAATGTCTTTCTTACTTTCAACTTCAAAACTAAACATTCTTAAATGCAGTGGTACCTCTGTTCATGAACGTTTTTTGTTGTGAGCTATTTACTTTACAAAGAGAAGCGTTTGGCAAAATTTTGTTTTTGCTTTTGGACTCTGCATAGGGTGACAAACACCACTGAGCTCTTTTCCGTATAAACAAACAAACAAGCAAAAAAGCCATCTTTTCCAGAATTGTGGAACAAATTAACTGAGTGAACCAAGGTACCACTGTATTCTCTTATTGGATCTCATACCCCAGTGGAGCATTTTGTACCCTGCCACTGAACCTAGTGGTAACCATAGTCTCTTTTCATCATAGACTTCTCTGACTTCAGTTGACTGTGCATATTCATATCAGAGGTTCAGTGAACCCTTGTGAAAGGCACACGATGGAAGTGGCTGGATACCTTTGCTTCTAAAATACAGAAGTCCAGAGATTTGGGTAGGAACACACACTGACATTCACACTGAAGGACCAAATAAAGACATCTCTAAGCCCCTGTGCTTCCACACAGTCGGTCTAGTTGTTGAATATTTCAGAGGGTATGCAGAATGACCCAACGCAAGCCACCTCTTTAGCTTTAGCAGCAAGCCTACACTTCCAATACCATGACTTAGCTTCTCTGCCATGACAAGGTAGCAGGTGCCATCTTTCTCCCAGCTCAGATGTGGCTCATTTCCAAGTCTAATCATTGCTTTTCAACGAATGACCCCACATTCACGATCTATCTCTATAGCCAGTTCTAATGCAAAGCAGAGCTTGAGATTTTCACCCAGTCTCAAGTGCCAGTAAAGCACACTGATTGTATCTGAAGCCCTGAACATAAACTGGCTCATCGAGTTTCTTTACAACTCAGCAGAAGCTGCAGTCTTACAGCTGTCACTCCATATTAACAGGTTTCTATTCTTTTAAAAATATTTTCATTAGTACACATATGCGATATATAATTATTACATTTATTGTGAAGAGTCGGTACATGTACATAACACGTCCTGATGCTTTTAATGTCCTTTCAAGCTCCATCTTTTTTCCCTCTATACTCCCTTGTTTCTCCCTCCACTTCTCAAGCCTCTTCCCATTTGCTTACTGGCTGTCCTGTTTCTATAATCCTGAGCAAAAATGAAAATCATTGCTGTTAGTGCTACAGATAGGTACTTTGTGCCAGTCTGGATCAATTTAGTCATCCATATGGCCACCAAGTATTGGGCAATTATTGCATTTTATTTAAAGTCTCAGCAGCTGGAAGTACAGCAAAGAACATATAGATCCCTATTTTTATGGAATTTACATTCTATTGAGGTAATCAGACATGCAGAATGATGCAAGGATGGATATGGGTGGATGGGTGGATGGATAGGTAGATGTTAGCAACTGCTTTACTACGTCAAAAAAAAAAAAGTAATCATTTTTTATGGAATTTACATTCTATTGAGGTAATCAGACATGCAGAATGATGCAAGGATGGATATGGGTGGATGGGTGGATGGATAGGTAGATGTTAGCAACTGCTTTACTACGTCAAAAAAAAGCAAAGTAATCAGATATAGAATAACGAAGTCCTAATTTAGACATATATGAAAGTCCTGAGCTAAGGATTCAGAAGTAGCATTGTTCAAAAATGACCCTTGATTATAGCTATTTCTGTCAATAATTATAGCATAACTTTGTATAAATAGTATTAACAATAATGGTTTGTGATATATTTTATATAAAAACAGGGACTTAGGTAAATTAAATTTTTAAAAAAAATCAAACTTACAGTCAGGTGTGGTGGTGCAAGCCTGTATCCCAAGCTACCTGAGAAGCTGAGGCAGGAGGATCACAAGTTCAAGGCCAGCCTGGGTAACTTACCAAGACCTTATCTCAAAATTTAAAAATAACACGGGCTGGATATGTAGCTCAGTTGTATATCACTTATCTGACATGGACAAAGCCTTGAGTTCAGTCCCCAGTACCATAAAACAGGAATTAAGGTTTCAGAGCTAACAAAGTGCAGAGGCAGGATTCAAATTCTGGTTTTCCCGAATCCATGTCCAAGTCAGTATAATTAAACTATGCTGTGTATCCTTTCATTAAGTTCTCTTGTATACATGATTATGCAAAGCTGCCAATGAACTATCTTTCTTCCTTCAGTTCCAGTATCCTGCCCTGTCTTCACCCTCAGGTCCCCTGGAGCCCAGGCTGTGGTCGGGGACATAGTGGAGCTTCACTGTGAGGCCCTGAGAGGCTCTGCCCCGATCCTGTACCGGTTTTACCGTGAAAATGTCACTCTGGGGAACAGCTCAGCTCCCTCGGGAGGAGGAGCATCCTTCAAGCTCTTGTTGAACACAGAGCATGCTGGAAACTACTCCTGCGAGGCTGACAATGGCCTGGGAGCCCAGCACAGTGAGGTGATGACACTCAGTGTCATAGGTGAGTTAATGAGTGTACCTAGACTAAAGCCATAGTTATGTTCCATAAAACGTTCTCCAAAAGACAACATAAACTCTACCATTGTCAAAGAATTTTTTTTTTTTTTGTACTGGGGATCGAACTTGGGACCTTGCACTTGTGAGGCAGGAAGAGGCACCACTGAGCTAAATCCCCGACTATTTTTTTTTGCAAGCCAAAATAATTTTTTAACATGTTCTTAAGATATGAGGCTTTCTGAGATTGATTTTCTAGGGGGAGGGAAAGGAAATCAATTTTAATCTTAGGTGCTGCTAACTGTTCCTCACATGTCATTGTTTTTAAAAGTGCAAGTGATATGGAAGGTAATTAAAATGAAGAAACCAGAACTTGGAAAATACCTGCTCAGCTAGATTTTTAGCCATCATCTGCATGATTTTTATCTAGAGCCTAAGTCTTTGTCATTGGAACTCAAGTATAGATCTTCCCATTCAGGAATTTCCAGGAACAGAACTGGTCCTGCCACTGTACGAGTCATTGTGGGGTTGTTTGGCCTTTCAGTTACTGCTGCTTCGCTGTATTACTTCAGGACCCAGAAGAAATCAGGTGGGTGTCTTTTTTGTGCCTGTTATAAGAACTTGGATTTGGGTGTTGCATCCTGTGAATGTCAGTTATTCCTTTCCAAGTGATAGGCCCCTGATTTACTACTCATTTCCTGCAGGCAGTAGTAACAAAGCTGTAGAATAAAGCTCTCAAGGAGAGTTTTGTTGCCAATTCTGCCCCCATTCCAAAGCCTACTGAAGACAAAACGGATTAAAAAAAAAGTTTTCATTTGTAATGAAAAGTAAACGATGGGCATAGACATAGCCCAGAAACTCTGATGTATTTGAATAGCAAATATAGTGAAATTTGGATAAAATACTGAGAATAAGACTAAAACTTCAATTTCAAGTTGTTTTTTGCTAGTGTATAGATTTATAATTGCTTTTTGAATATTAATCACAAAGGTTAAAACCTTGCCAAACTCACTTCTTAGTTCTAGTGTTTTAAATTTTGCCTTTTTCTACATGAATGATCATATTGTCTGTTAATAGAGACAGTTTTATTCCTTCCTTTCTGATACTAATTATTTTTCTTGCTTTAGTGCACTGACTAGAATCTTCTGTAAAATGTTGAGTAGAAGTGGTAAGATGTTCGTTCTCAGGGTGAAAGTATTCAATCTCTCACTGTGAGGTATTAATTAACTGGAGTTTTAATAGATACTCTTCATCTGGCTGAGGAAGACCCTATTCCTCATTTACTGAGAGGTTTAATAGAAATACCTGTTTGTCAAATGTTTTTCCTATATTGATTGAGATAACCACGTGGCTTTCTTTTTTAGTCTATTGATTGGGTGAATTTGGATGGTTGAAACCACTTTGATGCTTTCTTTGCTGTGCAGAAGCTTCTTGGTTTGATATAATCGCATTTCTAGCTTTGTTTTTCTTCTTTGTATTTTGGGTCTTATCCAAAAATAGATGTCTCTTCCAGTGTCTTGGAGGATTTCCCCCAAGTTTTCTGTTAGTATTTTTATAGTCCTATGTTTTATATCTAGATCTTTGATTCATTTTGAGTTGATTTTTTAATACAATGAGAGATAGGGGCCAGTTTCATTTTTTTTTTTTGCATACACATACCCATTTTCTCCAGCTTGATTTATTGAAGAGACTGTACATTCTCCATTATATATTCTTGCTACTTTTGTAAAAAATTATTTGGCTATAAAACATAGATTTATTTCTATGTTCTCTGTTCTCTTCTATTGGTCTGGTTTTGTGCCAGTTCTGGGCTCTTTTGACTGCTATAGCTTTGTAGTATTTTTTGAAGACAGGTGTTATAATGTCTTCTGCTTTGTACTGTTTTGCTCAAGAATACTTTGGCTATTCTGGATCTTTTGTGGTTCCATATTAGTTTTGTTACTTTTTTCTAGTTTCGTGAAAAATATCGTTGGCATTTTAATGAAGACTGAATTGAATCTGCAAATTGTTTTAAGTATTATGGGTGCGTTAACAATATTAATTCTACCAATTCATGAGCACAAGATGTCTTTCTAGAGTGTGTACCTCATAATTTCTTTCATTAGCATCTTATAATTTTCATTGTAGAGATCTTTTACTTCCTTGGTTAAATTTATTCCTAGGTAGTTTTTATTTTTTTGTGGCAATTGCAAATGGGATTTCTTTTTAAATTTCATTTTATAGCTATTTAACTATTGGTTTATGAATTGCTACTGCTTTTTTTGTATGTTAACTGGCATTGTAGTCTTCAATTTTACCACTTTTTTCTTATCAGTTGCAACAGTTTTTTTGGTGGACAGGATTTCCTACAATAAGATCATGTCATCTGAACACAAAGATAATTCTACTTTCTCCTTCCCAACTTGAATATGTATTCTGCAGCTTTTGGATAAAATTATCTGTAATTTTCTGGTAGGATCACCTGGTTTATAGCAGTTTAACTCCAATGTGTCTGTTTTTTTTTTTTTGAGGGGGGTGGATAGTATGATCAGTCTATTGATGAAAGGAGGGTGTTGATATCCCCAAAATACTACTGGGTCAGAGTCTGTCCTTTAGATCTAATAATGTTTGATTTAAAAACATTGAGTGTCCTAGCACTGTAGCATATATATATTTAAATCTTCTGTAACTAGGGCTACTCTTGCTCATTTTTATTTCATTTGGATGGAGTGTCTTTTTCTATCTTTTGGTTTTAGCCTGTGTGTGTCTTTATTAGTGAGGTGAATTTGTTGTGGGCAGTACATAATTGAGTTGTGCTTTTCCTTTCTTTTTATATTATTTCTCTTGTTAATTTTTATAATTTTATCATTTCAAGAAAGTTAAATACATGTAGTAACAGAATAAATAAACTTTTAGAAATGGTTGTTTCATTCAGTATAATTCTGTGAAGAGTCATCCATGCTGTTTTAGGTATGAATAGTTCATTTTTTATTGCAGAGTAGTATTGCATAGTATGGATATATCAAGATTTTTTTTTTTTTTTAGTACCGGGGATTGAACTCGGGTCCTTGCGCTTGCAAGGCAGGCCACCAAACCGCTGAACTAAATCCCCAGCCCCAAGACTTTCTTTAAACATTCATTCATCAAGGGACATCTGTTCGTTTCTACTGTGGAGCTATTATAAATAAATTTGCTGTGAACAAGTACATACAGTTTTTTATTTTTAACATAAAATGTCACTTGTTTGAGCTAAATGTCCACCGGTATTATTGCTAGCCCACATGATAGCTGCATTGTTACTTTTATAAGAACTTTCCCAGAGTAAGACGAATATAATGAGGTTCTAATCCTTGCAGCCTGTAAATGAGAATTTACATTGCAAGAGTGACTGTAGAGATTTGATGAAATTAAGGATCTTGAGAAAGAGATAATTCTAGAGTATAAGAGGGGGTCATAAGTGTGATCACAAGTATCCTTAAAGAGGAAAGTGGAGAAAAATTGCCTACACATTAGAAAAAGACAGTATGACAATGGATTCAAAGTTTTGAGTACTGTGGCTACAAGCCAAGGTGTGCTTGCAGCTAGCTGCCTTAGAAGCCAGAAGAGAAGATGCAGATTATCCTTTGGAGACTCTAGGAGAAACCAGGCCTGCAATCACCTTAATTTTTAGCCCTGTAAGACTCATTTCAGACTTCTGACCTCCAGAACTGAAAGATTACAAATTTGGGTTGTTTTGAGGGCTATGTGGCAATTTATTAAGATCAACAACAGGAAACTAATACACTACTAGACTGTTTTTGTTCCAGGGTGTCCTTGAGCCCGGTGGTGAGTGTTACCCTAACAGGTGTTTCCAGATTATCCATCGCATTTTAAATTCTCAGTGATGAATGATTTCCTTTCTCCACAAGCTTGCCAGAATTTACTGTTTATTTATTTATTTATTTTTGCTTTGTTTAAAGAAAAGTTCTGATAGGTGTCATTCTGGTAGAAAGATCTCATTGTGGAATCCATTTGCATTTCTTTTGTGGCTAGTGAGGGTGATCCGTATTTTCATGTATTTATTTACCTTTTGGTGAAATATCATTCGTGCCTCTACTTTCTAATTGCAACATTTTTGTTTTTATTGTTTATTACTCATTAGTATTGGTTATTGTACCGTTTATTGCCATTTAATATTAATACTATTTTTATTACTGTGCTTTTGAGAGTTTTTATAAATTCTAGTACTAGTGTTATTCTGAGCATGTAACTTGCAAATACTTTCTCTTGCTTTGTAGTTTCTCTTTCCATATGTATAATAGGTTCTTTGCATAGAAAGTTTAAAAAAAACTTTACTGGCATCCAATTACTTCTTACTTTTATGACCTGTGCCTCAGTGTCAAGTCAAGGGATTTTTTTTTTTTTTTTAGCCCTGAATCCCAAAGATTTCTTGTTTTTTATTTTTTTCCTAGTTTTATAATTCACATTTTACCCTTATGTTTCTGATTCTTTTTTAGTTAATATTTATATAAAGCACGAGGTTTAGGGCCAGAGATTTAGCTCAGTGGTTCTGCTGCCTGCCTTGCAAATGCAAGGTCCCGAGTTGGAACCCCAGTACCCCCACAAAAAAGCATAAGGTTTAGGACAAGATGTATGTTTGGCCTGTGGATGCCCAATTGCTCCCAATTTATCTTTCTACCAATCTTATAAAGTCTTATTACTGGAGCCGTAGAATAGGTCTTAACATCATGTCAGATGCTTCCTTTCACTTTCTTCTTCATTTTAAAGGCATTTTTGAGTACTGTATAGTTTGTTCCTTCATGTAAACTTTAGGGTGAATTAGTCTATAACTATAAGACTCCTTCTGGGCATTTTGATAGGAGTTGTACTGAAATTGTAGGTATTTAAGGAGAAATGATGTGTTTTACAATGTAGCTTGTGTCTCTATGTATTTATATCATTTTAAATTCCTTTCACCAGCATTTAAAAATTTTCAGCAAACATATCCCGTACATGTTTTGTTAGGTTTTAACCAAATGTTTCATTTGTGGTACAATTTAAATGTTGTTCATTAAGCATGAGTTTATTTATAATCTTCAGAAATGAGATTGATTTGTATTAAGCATCATACATTCTACAAGCTTGCTGAACTCATTTATCAGCATTAATCTTGTTCATAGATTTTAAAGGATTTCCTAAATAGAAAATCGTGTTATATATTTCTTATTGTCCAAATTTCTTTTTCTTTTCCCTCCCTCCCTCCTCTTCTTTCTTTCTTTGGCCACTCATTTTTTTGATTGGAAATTTTAACACATTTATATGCAAGATTATTGTTTATAAGAATTTACTTCTGTTGTTTTCTGTTTTATTTTTTTATTCTTTCTGTTTCTCTTGTTTACTTTTGTAGTTGGTGACTTTCTGAGGTCATGAGGCGTGATTTTTTTCTCTTTTTCACTTGTGTGTCTTCTTTGCCTGTGAGTTGCACTCTTTCAAGATGGCAGTTAGTATCCTTTAACTCCCTTTAACATTTTTTTATGGGCCAGTCTAGAAAGGACAAATTCCCTGTTTTTGCTAGTAGGAGAGAGAATTTATTTCAGAAATACAGCTTTGCTGTGTTTAGAATTCTTGGTTGGCAGATTTCTTTTCCATCCCCGCCACAACCCCAGGACTTTGAATATATCATTGCATTATCTTCTGGGCCGTAAAATTGCTGTTGAGAGATTTGTCAGTATTTGATGAGAATTCTTTTAGTTGCAGTTTAATGTTTTCCCTTGTTGTTTTTAGAATTATCTTTTTGTCTCGGATTTTGGCAGTTTGAATACAGTGTGTTCCGAAGAGCCTGTTCTGGTTTGAATTTGAAACGTCATCGAACAGACATGTGTTATAGGCTTGGTTGTCTGCTGATTGACTTTTGGGAATGTGGCTGAATCATGAGGGTTCACCAAGTGGTTTAATCCGTTGATGAGATAATTTGGTAGCACTATTGAGGGGTGATGGAACGAGCAGTAGGGCCTAGAGCAGGGAGTGGGTCCTGGGGGCTTGATGTTGGAAACTACACCTGGTCCCTGGCCTCTGGTGCTTTTCCTGCTCTTTCTGCCCCCTGGCCACTATGAGGTGAGCAGCTTTCTCTGTTACACCTTCCTGCCATGATTTTCTGTCTTACAACGGCCTTAAAAATACTGAGCCAGCTAACAGTGGACTAGAATCTCTGAAACCATGAACCTTCACTTTGTTTTTCTCAGGATATGGGCACAGCATGAAAAGCTGACTAACATATGAGTACCTTGTTTGGTTGAGTCTACGTAGTGTTTTTAGAGCTCCCTGGATCTAGATATACATATCTCTTTCAAGGATGAGGAAATTTATAGGTATACTTTCATTCAATAGGTTTCTATGCCTTTTCCCTTCTCTTCTCCTTCTAGAATATTCATAATGTGAACAATCTTTCACTTATAGTATCCCCTAAACCTCGTAGGCTTTCTATTTTATTTTATTTATTTATTTTTGTTGTCTGACTCAATCATTTCGCCAGTCTTGCCTTCAAGTTAAGAAATTCTACTATGTGGTCCAGATTTTTGTTGAAATTCTCAGTTGTCATTTTTAAATTTCAATTGATTTTTTAGGTCCAGGATTTCTATTTTGTTCTTTTTCATTTTATTTTATTTCCTTATTGAGTTTATTGGTACTTTTTAGGTATACGGTACAGTTACATTCATCACTGGGATCTTGTACCTTTACATGACAGGTCTTGGTTCTCCTTTTTCCCCCTTATCCCTGCCCTCCCTTCACCCCCTCCTCCCTTTCCTATTTACAAAAACATTTTTCCATTTTTTTACTTCTCATATTTTTTCTTTTCTCTTCTTTCCTTTCCCTTCCCACTTCCCTTGCACCTTCAGCCTTTTTCTTCCTATTTCACATTGTCAATTATACCATTTGGATTTTATGTTCTTTTTTTTATGATGTTCATCCCTTTTTTTTTTGATTTCTCATTCTGAACATAAGTTTTTTTCATTTCACTGAAATATCTATCTGTATCCTCTTGCACTTCACTGAGTTTTCATAACATCATTATAAACTCTTTTATAGGGAGCTCATGGATTGTCTTTACTTGGCCCTCTGCCTCTGAAGAATTCTTGTGTTCTCTTGTGGCTGTCATATTTTCTTGCTTTTTAATGCTTCTTGTGCTCCTAAAATGATGCCAGTACATCTAGTGTAACAATTGTCTCTTCCAATTTTATTCAGTAGCTTTCATAGTCAAAGCCTGTCGTCCTGCGGATGAGTCATAGAAAGATTTTTGGGTAGGATACTTTACCTTTGATTCTGCATGGGCACCGTAGTGTGAACCCCATGTTAATCCTTCATCCCTAATCAACATCCACAGAGTCTACCAGTGTCTGCGTGATTTAAACTACAGGTGTTTGTGGAGGTAGTAGGGCAACTCTACAGTGAATGTAGGCCGCGGAGGGCATGTCGCCTGGAGAACTGGGGAGCAAATGCTAATCAGTGACTGTGTCCCACCCTCTCGTAGCAGCAGCAGGGGCAGTGCCAGAGGGGTGAGCTATAGTGGAGTAGTTACCAGGCCCCACAGGGGTGATCGCTGTGGGTGGTGAGAGCCTCTAGGAGTGGCTGCACTGGCACCGGGAGTTGGACCAGGAGGCACGTAGCCAGTGCTGGTGGGTCTGCAGGCAGTGGCCTCAGAAGCACTTAGCAGAGCAGGGGATGCCTGAAACTCCCAGAGGGTAAGCACTCTGGCTCCTAGGGTCTTGGAGGCAGCACCGTCTTCTGTGATAAACCATCTTTTCCCCACAGGACAGGGTACTGCATGGGCTTGGGTGCTGGCATCACTTCTGTACAACTTGGCCGAGTTGGGTTTATAAATCTGCAGCATTTTGTGTGAGTGTTGTAAAATGTTTGTGGGGACCTAGAGATGAGCGTAGGTAGAGGATTCTGTCTCTTAGAGCAGGTGGATCACAACAGCTTCTTCCTCCAGGTGGCACCAAGTTGCAGCAGTTTGAGATTTGAGGGCTGGGGGAAGAAAAGGGAAGTTTTTTCTCTAACACAAGACTGTTGCGCTGACACAAAAAACCTTCTCAAATGGGCAGCAAGCCTGTTAGGCTGTGTAACTCTCCTGTAGTTGGGGCTGCTGGACCCTTTAAGTGGGATCTGCTGGATAAATTTACCTTTCCTCCTGCAACGGGGAGTCGCTTAGGCCACAGCTGCTGTACACTCTGCTGTCTTTATATCGTCCCAAATCTCTGTACTTTACAGGTCTCCCATCTCTTGCAGAATTCTCTTTTAGCTATTCACTCCTAAAGGCAGTAAGTTATTCTCTGTTTTTTTTTTCTTTATGGAGGAGGCAAGTACTGGACACCTCCATTCTACCATTCTGATACTTTAGAGGTGTTATATTAATGTAATTAATAGTATGGTTAAGCTTAAGGATATTTTGCCATTTGTTTTCTATTCATCTCATCTTTTTTTTTAACTTACTGTTGAATCAGTTGAGTATTTTTATTATTCTATTTGGTCTTCTTTGTTGGTTTTCTAGTTGTAATGAAGTTTTTTTTCATTTTAGTCATTGATTTAGAAATTGTAAATCTTTAGTTTATCACTATCTTCAAGTGATGCTGTATCACTTCACTTACAGTATGTGAATCTTACCATAGTGTACTTCCACTTTCCTCCTCCTCATTACATTATTATTTTATAAACAATCAGTTATCTTTTATGGTGCTGGGGGTGTAGTTCTGTGCTACAGCATTTGCCCGGGCCCTGGGTTCAATCCCTAGCTCTAGAAAAGACTTACATATTTACTTTATGTGCCTACATTTTCTAATACTCTTTATCCCTATTGTATAGTTACATTTTCATCTGGTATTGTTTTCTCTCTATCCAATGTACTTCTTTTCAATATTTCGTGTAATATTGGTTTGCTGGTGATGAATTATTTCAGGTTTTGTATATCTATAAATGTCCTTATTTTGCATTTATTTATAACATAAAGTTTGCTGACATGGAATTCTAGGTCAACGGTTTTTATCTTCCAGTACTTTTAAAGATGTTTCTCCACTTCTTGTGTTTCTGACAAGAAATCTGCTCTTGTCTTTATTTTTGTTCATTTGTTGCTGTTTTCTTCTCTCAGTCTGAATATTTTTGCATGGATGAAGGATCTTTGAATATATGAAGTGTGTGAAATATACAGTGAATGCTTAGATTAAAAAGTTATTACAGTACAAAACATATCTCACTGTAATAAATCCCCTTCAGAATACCCCCTTCACTCCAAAAACACTTATTCCATCCTTCTGGGCACTTTCCGAAGCAGTTCTGGGAGTTGTCTTTCATGAGTTATCTTTGGGCGTTGTGATAAGAAATACAATGAATGCCGCTGTTGAGTGCCATCCGGTGGAAAGGCAGGCTTTGCCATCTTACTGGATCTGTGTCGTGTGACTTCTGCATCTTTGCCAAAGCCACAGTGACAAGGAAAAGTAGATACTCTGCAACTGTTCAGGACATGAAGGCAGTGCAACAGAGGACACAAAGAGGACTTGCCGTGGCAAGAAAGTGGCAAGAAAGAGAGGATAAGTGTGTTTGAAACAAAGGGAGTATTTTGAAGAGGATTAATGGCAAAGTGTCTTTTACCGCAATAAATTTTTAAACATTTAAACTTTCACTCTATTTTTCAGTCACATCTTGGTATGGACTCATTTACTGCTTTGGGTTGGAAGTCTTTAAGACTTCAGATTTTAGAATTACTAACCCTTCACTTTCTATTTGACCTTTCCCCATGTGGTATAACATGGATTCTACTTTTCTGTCAGGCCATATGCATCTGACCTTCCTTTCTTGGGGCTCATCCTGAAAAATGAAGAAATAAAATAAATAAATTAAATAGGTGGACCTCAATCTAATTAAAAAAAAGGAGAAAACTTTACTTATTTTCACTAATGATCCCAGTTACATATCGTCTTCTAAACTGTTACATTTATTTTCAGGTCATAGATGAGTCTCATATTTCTGATCCTTTATAGTAACTGATATTTCAATGCTAATTAATATTTTTTGAATAAAAGTACTCATGTAATTGTGAAAGTGTAAACCGGGCATGGTGGCGCACACCTGTAATCCCAGCACTCAGGAGGCTGAGGCAGGAGGATTGCTGTGAGTTCGAGACCAGCCTGGGCTACATAGTGAGTTCCAGGTCAGTCTCACTACATAGTGAGACCCTATCTCAAAAACAAAACAAAACAAACAAACAAACAAAAATTGTGAATGTATGTGTATGATTTTAAATACATAAAGAGAACACTAACCCCAAAACTACTCATATAAAATCTATTAATGTAATTTTATAGTCAGATATTCCTAACTATTTAATAAGAAAAATTCAGTTTATTTCAACCATTTTTTTTTTTTTTGTACTAGGAATCCAACTTGGGTCCTTGAGCTTGTGAGGCAGGTGGTAGAACCATTGAGCTAAAACCCTGGCCCCATTTCAATTGATATTATCACAATTGTTTCAGAGATGAAGAAATAGGGGGCTGGGAAGTTGAGAAAAGTTTACAGATCTATGTGGCTGCTTAGGGTCAGAGTTAGGCAGTACCTGGGTTCTTCCTAGATCTTTAGCCTTTATGCCCTCCATTTTGCCCAGGTACTTGTAGAAGCCTGGCCACACTTCCTGCATTCAAAGTTATTTTCTTTTGTTTCATCTGATCCTCTGTCTGAGGTGTCACTTATTCCTCTTAATGTACTAGAAGATAACATTAGGATCTCTGTGTGAAGTTGATAATGCTTAAAAACCAGGCAGCTCAGCCAGCACAACACGAGAGGGCAGGAAAGACACTGATGGTGATTTTGTGTGACCCATGTGAACACAGACCCAGGTGGTTTTGTTCTCCAGCTCTAGAAGAATGTTGTTTTAAATAATTTCACTAAGAAACTACAACAGTTCATTCGCCAAGCAGAAAGTGTCTTTTTATTTTCTTAAAAATCTTGCCTACTGTATACTCCCTCATAGCAAAACCCTTTCTCCTATCACCGAGCAGTTTTGTCAGGAAAAAGCTCAGATCTTTCTGGTTTTTCTAAAAGTAAAGAGCTCTTCCTGCCTGAGCGATGCTTAACTAACAATTATCAGACAGAGTGAAAATTTGATTCTATCAACTTTCTAACAAACTGCTTGCGTTCAGATTCCAGTAGTGTAACTGGCCAACGTCCTGGCATGTGGCAAGTCAGATAAACTCTGCACATCCCAGTTTCGTCACGTCATAATGCTATCTAAATTTTAGGTGCTAGAAACATCTAGGTAAACTGCTCAGCATGATGTCATCAGGGAAGAGTAGCTGGCATCATAAATAGCTGCTTCTCTCAGTTTCCTTTTGCTTTTACAAAAGAAGACATAGACTGTCCTAGAAGCACCCTTGGACTGTGATAACCCACCCCCAAGGAAGATATTGGTTGTTGATTGATGTGAATTGTCATTGTTTTAAGGAGAGTCAAAGAGGCCCAGATCATTCCCATGCTCCTAACAAAGGAGTCTATTACTGGAGAACAGGGCCTGCAGGGTTCAGTTTTTTCATAAGAATCAAGGCTGGTGTGTTTATTATGGGCAGTGGTTTGTGTTCTCCAAGCACGAGATCAAAATGTTTCTTCTTGCTGAAATATGTGTTTTTAAAAGGAAAAACAAAATCCTTTTTTGGCTCTCAGAAGTCAACTGTATCAGCAGGTGTGACCATATCATAACATGTGGATAAAATAAAAGTCAATATATTTTTTTTTTACCCCTCACAAAAACAAAATAAAATAAAACAGAGGTGGGGATGCAAAACTGGGAGCATGTTTCTGGGCCAGTACAGAAAGATTTCAGGATTTCTGTGACAATGGACAACTGCTGATAGAGGCTGATGGCATGGGCCTCAAAGATGGACTTATAAAATTGTCAACTAGTCACTCCTCAAAGTACATGCTGTACTTTGTTTCACTGACCAGATTTTCATTGAATATTTTCAAGTGCTAGGCCTATCACTGGGAAGACAAAAAATTAAAATGAGGTTTCCAGCCTCAAGCAGCATACTCTTTTTTTTTAAAAAAAAATAAAGAACACAGTTAAGGGCAAACAGAAATAAATCATTACAATACATTAATTTTAATATCTCACAGTTCTATGTGATGGAGGAGGTCACTTGATTAGCATCAGAGAAAGTGTCAGAGGAGGAAAGAGAAGGTGAAATCAGGTGGAGGAGAGGTAAAGAAGACCAGCATGTGCATACACGACAAGTAGTTGAGTGTTTTTTTGACTGGATTTGTAGGGGTCACAATTAGTGAAAAAAGACCGAATTTACAGCGGTGTCTCCACCCAATCATTAGAATTCTCTGAATTTTAAGCCTCGCAGTCTACTTTTCTATAGTTTATAAGGATGCAGTGAAAATAAAGAGGAGGGTGTGGAAGGAGGCCTAGGCCCCGAGTTAAATGCTATCTTGTCTCACTGTTTATAACTACTTAGAGTGGATTTTCACATTGCTGTTACTGACTTTTAAGTGATTCAGAGTAAGTGTGGTTCTGGACAAATTCTTTCAAGACCCTGCCTTCCTCACTTATAACTTCACATGGGGGGTGGAGGGGGCTATTCCCCAAGGTTTGCTGTGAATCTGCTTTCTAGGAGAGAATGTTCTAACACTGAGCCTGCTACCCATGCAAATCGCTCATCTCTGCTGTTCCTCTGTTCATTCTGCAGGAGGAGCTTTGGCCACTGGGACACCTAGGTGAGGTCTCTGCTTTCCGTGCTGCCAACATTTTATAGTCTATTTATCTGCACAAAACACGAACACGGAATCACGTACACTTTAAGATGTCTTAACTGACTTTCTATGAACATTTTAACATTCTTATAAAATTCAAAAATATGATTAGACAACCACTTTCACACATAACTTTACAGAAAATGTATGTTGCAGTTCACATTTATTTACCTATTTCTTCTTGGGCTCTAGCACAGAACTGGCCACTGAGGTCTTCACGACATTGTATTTTATAGGGCTACTATCCATTCATTCCCTGTTTCTCATTCCTCCACTCCTATAACACCTGCTAACTTAGGAAGCAATCATCAATTGTTAGCATTGTTGAATTCACAATATTAACTGCAAGAATGAATGAAATTAGAAAAAATAACAACATGAGGAGCCCTTATGCATTTAATAGAAGGTGGAATATTAACACATGAGGTAGAAATTGAAAGAGACCTTTTAAAACAAGACAAATAAATTCAATGGGAAGGCAGAAGTCCTTGTATATCAATGTCCAAGCATTTACATCTTGAATGGTAATTTTAAAAATTAGCCAAATTTTTACCCTATCAAAGGTACCTGACACTGTGGGCTTTTGCCCTCTGACATTGCCCCTGCCCTATGATGTTGCCTGGCCTTCATCTGTGCCATATTCCTTCTGATGTTTTCATAAAAAATCGTGGAGAGGTGGCCATGATATATTTACATGAATCATGCTTTGTTGACATTGATTTTTTTGAGACTCTATGAAACTCATGAGTATTTTTCATCCATTGTCACTTCTTCTGTCACAGTCCCATTGCATATCAGGAGGCTTCCTTGTCCGGACCTGCCACAATCCATCTGGAGGAGTCTGTCCACTATGAGTTACTGGCCTTAAAGGACCTGCAGCCAGTGTACACCAATGGTGAGATCTAAGGGACAGGGAAATCCAGGGGTGATCCAGGGAGGAAGGAAGGATTGAGCCCAGGATCTTTTGATACTCAATTCAAAAATGAAACTCCTAGCATTATATTGGGGGTAAAAGTGGTTATGAACTTGGTGTCTGGGAAGGTGAATTAGTCTATTTTTCATTGCTATAATGAAATACCTGAGGCTAGATGCTACATGAAACAGTTTTATTTAGTTCACATTTCTGAAGGTTCAGGGCATTGCATTGCATCAGCTCTGATGAAGAACTCATGGAAGACAGTATCACACAAGCAGGAACATAGTTGGGAGGAGGAGACCACATGGTGAGCCAGGGAGCTGGTAATTACCTCCTTCCCACTGGGGTCCACCTTGTAAAGGCACCATCACCTTTAACATGGCTATACCATCATCACATCACCACACACTAAAGAACAAACCAAGTCCAAAACCTTTGCAGAAGGACAGTCCGGGGTGTGGGCTCTTAATTATAGCCAACTATTAATATCATCTGTTTTCTTACAGTAAATCCTGACAATACCAACTGGATTGGTTCCCACATCCAGAGCATCCAGAATACAAATGGAAATGAAGGTGAGATAAGTTTCAGACAGACAAGTATAGCTGAAGTGACCATTGCAATCAGATGCAGTAGGGGATCTTTGATCAGAATCATCTCAAGTATGGCCCCAACATGGAAAGCATTTCCTACTCCTCCGGTAATGTCAATCATTTAATCCCCTCTTAACTCTCCACACTATCACCACTGCCCTATAAACTCTGACAGAATAGACACCATGAATTTTTCATGCATGTATTCAGAGTATCTAGCTTAGTGCTCGAGGAGCTTAATGTTTTTCTTTGCTCTTCCCATCCAACAGCAAATTCACCAAGGATGCATTGGAAAAATAAGGTGAGCCATGTGTCCTCGTTTCCTGTTCTCTGTGCTCTTCTTCACCTATATTGGGGTGCTGATTATTTGTGAATTTTTCACCAGGAGCCTGTAGTTATTTATTCAGAGTTGAAGGCACGCCCAGATGAGTTTGCAGAGCAGACCAGCAGGAGAGAGAGTGCCCGAGAAGATACTACAGAAGACTATGAGAATGTCTCAAGCGGATCTGCAGCCACAGGCCACTAGATCCTTCTTCAGATTGGTCCACAGAGACTGTGGGAACAGCTCTGTCCTTCCCCTTTTCTCTCAAGCACACTTCAGCCTTCTTCCCGCAGACTCTGCCTCCATGGCCACTGCGATACCGGGGATGGGAGGCTGTGCAAAAGGCCTGCCACCTCTTCTTTGTCAGAGTCGGTGTATTTTCCAGGAATAGAATGCTCAGCATCCGGGCAAGCGCTGCATTATTGCTGTAAGAACAGGCTTGATATCAGGGCCATGGAGTAGAGGAGGAACTGGTTTAGCCCTGGTCACAAGGGCTATATAATCACAGCAAATACACAAATAATTCTGGGCATCATCATTTCCATTTTATGAATGACACAGAGCCCTATAGAGGGGCTAATGCAAAATCATATGCAAATAAAAACAGGATCCAAACCCAGATCTGATCCACACTGAAGTCTGTGCTCTCAACTGCCACAGTGCTCTGCTTTTTCTCTACAAGAATAATTCAAAAGAACCACACAGTGGTGTGAAAGGGGAATTATATGCAGTTTACTAAATAGCTGATTTAAGCATGTATAAATGATTTTTAGAATTAGTCTTTTATGAACTTCTAATCTACCCTACTAAACAGTGTGAAGGTTCCCTGATTCATTGTCTTGGTTTTGCTTCGTTGATCCTTTATTTCTTCCCTCAATGATCATTCTGTATGCAATTTGCATCAAAATGGTTCTTCCCGTCTATGCAGAAGTTTAATGTTATTTGCATAAGTTTCTCAGAAACTCTGTTGAGATTGCTCAAAGTGTGGAATCCCTGTCTAATCTGTCTCTTAGGAAGTTTGCTTCCCAGCAGTGCCAAATGTTACATGAAGTAATATGTGTCTCTATCTAACTTTTCTTGTGGCTGAAACAAAATACCTGAAACCCAAATTTAAAGGAGGGAAGGTTTATTCGGCTCACACTTTGTAGAGGTTTCAGTCCATAGTTGGCTGGCTCCAAGGCAAGGTGGCATGACAGAAGGGCATCTCAGAGGACAAGCAGTCAAGGGCAAGCAGGGGGGAGACAAAAGGATGTTAGCCCACTCTCTGTCCATTATAGTTTATGTCCATTATATTTACCTGCCAGGTGGGGGTGTAGTACGCACACCCTTGATCTTAGCCAGAACTATACCAAACCAATCAGTGGACTGACTTAATAATCACACACCCTTGACCCCACCCCTTTAGATCAGCATCACACACTGCAGATTCATCCCCCTTTGAAAATCCCCTCCCTACAGCTTTAGGAGGCTGGGGCGGGGGGTGCATCTGAACACCAGTCATAACACTGTCTATCTACATGTGTGCTATTTCTTCTGAAACATTCATTATTTTAAAAATAAGTCATTCTATTTAATGAATAGTGAGCTTCTAAAATAGTGTTATTAGATAGATAGATAGACAGATAACAAATAGACAGATGGATAGGATAGATGTAAACAGATGACATTTCCAACCAGAAAGAAGCTGTGATCTTCAAGATACCTCCTTTGTCACAGGATAGAACATTCCCCCCATCAGTAACAGCTGTTTTACTGCTTCACTTGAACACTCACTATCTGGATCTATTGAAGAATCAGCAGCAAACCAGTGGATCAGATGATTCATGTGACTCGGGTGGAAAAGCTCATCTTCACTCAGGAGCCCTTGTCCCTGAGCTGGCAGTGGATGCAGAGACAACAGAGCATCAACCAGTAAGCTTGGATATCACTCCCACCGCTCACATACTTCTCATCTAACCCTCAGTTAACTGGCAAACACTGAGTGTCTGTCATTGAAGTAAAAAGAAACATGGCATCGTGCTTAAATTTCAGGAAAATTGGCAGGATTACTTTTACTTACAGTTTTCTCCGAGGTGGAAAGGAAATAACTGAAACTGTTAGCCTTGATCATCTGGTACGACATGAAACTTTTTATAGCTTTGGAATCTTTAGGCCTAAAAAAGAAAGGCCCGTATGTTCACTGTTGTGCACCAACTGGTATGATTTATAGACTTCATTGACTTTATACTCACCATTGTTCATCACCTCATGTAAATAACACAACAGTGCTTTTCAAACCTTGAAAATAACTCAAGCATATAAAAGCATGAAGTGTATTTCAGATTTTATTCTTTTCCCCTTGGGTATCAATAGCTTAGACAACAGAAAGTATAGCATGTATCGAAATGCAATCCAATTTGAAGTTTTTAATATTGGACTAATGAATTCAACTAGCAAGCTAATTCACTGAGGAGCAAAAATTCATTTTCTTTTTAGTGAGGGAATACATTTTTTTTTGTTATGTGAGAGGAGGTTATGTGTCATGCTCCCATATGACTCGGTTCAAAACACAATTAAGAAAGGTGGGCCTGGCCTCTACAGAGATCAGTGTATATAGGTGGAGCCTGTATGAACTTCAAATACACTCCAAATGCCTTCCTACCGGGGGTTCTGGGAAGAATAAAACTGTTCTATACGAGGAGAGGAAGCCATGTTACTCTGTGCCTGCCATAGGAAAACTACTGGAAAGACTGCTCATAACAGGTAGAAAAGTTCCCCTGTTGACCTATGCAAGGGAAAAATAGCTCTAGGCTGGGGGAAGGAGACAGGAATGAGGCAGAGTCCTCTGGGTTCAACCTTCATTCTCCTCCGGGCAGTGATGATTCTGCAGTGATGAAGGTAGCTCCTTGCTTAGCAGCCTTGGGGATGAAGAACACCAGGAAATTATGGATCTAAACCAGCAAGAAAAGGAACATTCAATTTCTTCTGACACAAACTACCTCTGTGTGAACCGGAGACCTCCTCCCAGAACTCCCTATCCAGATCCTCAAAATAAGAGCAAATAGTAGTACCTGTAAGCAGTCAGGGTGAGTCTGAGGTGTGTTTGGAGAAGTTCCAAGAAGAAATTATGTTTCTAGCAAGTCAAGAAAGTAACTGCAGAGATAGCAATGTTAAAGGGCATTACTATAATTTATTTCTTTACATTCCATTTGTTTATGTTTATTAAAACTCAATGCACAATAAAGCACACATTTTAAAAAAATTAATTTTATTGTTACAATTTAATATGCATAAAAATCACATTTACCATAGGGAATTTGTACCCTTACATGATCCCTCTTTTTCTCCCAATTCTCTCCCCTCCCTTCTACTCCTCTTCCTTCTTATTTACAAAAGCTTTCATTCCATTTTTTTCCCTACTTTTCTTATTTTTTTCTTTTCCCTTTCTTCTTTTCCTCCTCCTCCATTATAAAATACCTATGTAAAGTGTTCAATTGTATGATTTTTTTTTTTTTTTTTTAACCAGGGATTGAACTCAGGTCCTTGTGCTCATGAGTCAGGCAGCAGAACCACTGAGCTAAATCCCCAGCCCCAGTTGTATGAGTTTTGACAAATGTGTACCTCTACAAAACCACATAACAGTCAAGATCTCACATACCTCTAGCATCCCCAAAGCACCTTGCCCCCTACACAGCACTTCTCTCCTTCCCAGTCACTGGGCGCTTTTCCAAAAATGTGCATAAATGGAATCATATAATATGGCTTCTTTTGTACCTAACGTCTCAGGAAAGAAAAAATATTTGAGAATCAGTCATGCTGTGTCATGTATTCTCAGTGTATCAATTTTTATTGCTGAGTAATATTTCATTGTAAAAATGTACTGCATTATGATGAGATATTGACCCGCTGAGGGTTATTTTGGGTCATTTCACTTGTTATTATTGAAAATAAAACTTGCTATATATAAAACTTTGTGAGGAAGTATGGTCACATTGCCGTTTGACAGGTACCTTAACGTGTAATTGCTGAGTCATTGCCTTAGTCTTTCCTGAATGGCGACCTCATCTTACATCCCATGAGCAGTATATGATAGTCACAGTGCCTCTACATCTGTGTTAACATTTGACAACTTTCAATCTTTTATTTTAGCCACTTTAATGAGTATGGAGTATACCATAGTATGATGTTATCTGGTTGCGGTATTCATTTTAATTTCCCTGATGACCAATGAAGTTCTGTATCTCCTCAACTCCTTATGGACTTTCTGAAGATCTTCTTGTGAATTATCTGTCCAAACTTTACACCTCTTCTTTATTGGGAAGTTTGTCTTTTTATTAGTGAGTTGTACAGATTCTTTATATATTGTGGCCTCATTTATATGTTGCAAACATTTTCTTCCTATTTATAACTTCATTTTCCTACTATTATTGAAGAACAAATATTTTTAGTTTTGACATAGTCCAAATTACTATATTGTTTTTTTGTTTCCTATATGAGACAGTTTTGTTAACTTCAGAGTAAAAAAAACTATTTTCCTATTCTTTTTTGTTTGTTTGTTTGCTTTTTTGAGACAGGGTCTCACTATGTAGTTGAGATTGACCTGGAACTCTATGTAGACTTATTTTCCTATTCTTTTTTGTTTGTTTGTTTGCTTTTTTGAGACAGGGTCTCACTATGTAGTTGAGATTGACCTGGAACTCACTATGTAGTCCAGGCTGGTCTCAAACTCACAGTGATCCTCCTGCCTCAGTATCCTTAGTGCTGGGATTATAGGTGTGCACCACCACGCCCAGCCCAATTTTCCTATTCTTTTTCAGTAAGCTTTTTATAGCTTTTATTTTTACATTTAGGTCTATTGCACATTTAGGGTAATTTTTTGTGTTATGTACAATATGAGGAAGTTGAAAGAAAATGAGCCAAAACAGAAGCACCTGAGGCAAAGCTTATTATTAGGGGGAAAGAGCTGCTGGGCTGCTTCTAACAATGGTGAGAGGGAGCAAACCCAGTTGGGATGAGGCTTATAAGGGTTTGGGAGAGCATCGTATGTAAGCAGGTGATAGGTTGGTGCTAGTGACCAGGATGGAACTGATTGGCAGGCTTGAACTTAGTGGCAGGAAGGACTGTAAGCAGGAGAGCTTTGTGCCAGGAAAATTAGGTTATAGTTTCCTGGGAGTGATTTATTTTCCACAAGGAGGAGCCATGTATGATGTGGGGCTGTTGGAGCC